AGTAAATAGAATGCTGGTGCAGCTAAGAATGAGTTGTTGTGCCACAGGTGTGATTATGAACTGGGTACGAATTTATTATATTTATTATTGCTCTGCTGCTGAGCTCCAAGTGCTTGCATCAGCAGGTACTGTTTTTTGACCCAGGACTTGATAAGCAGCTGTGTTAAGTCAATAATTGTACTTGGGAGAAGTCTGTTCCTAGAGCAGAAGACCAGACTACTAAGAAATATGTGTAGCTTTCAAGGCAATGTGAGGTATCTGCACACATCAGAGTCCAAGTAAGGCTTTCCAGAGCCTCCCCCTCTCCTGCTTTGTCATGTACTTCTACCTATGCTAAATTTTTCCAGCTGCCTTAAAGACTTGTTCCATAGTGTAGGAGCTGTAAGGAAACGCTGACTTTGTAATGCGCAACCATTGCACTTGGCAGCAATACGAGGCACCTGTAACATCATCTAACCCAATGATGTGTGTTAATTTCTTCAGGGTTTTTTTTTTTTCCTTGTTATTTATTTCTTGTTCTTAAAACAGGCAAAAGCAGAGCCTGAACCTTCAGTGCAATCTGCACATCTGGTGGTCCTGTGGCACCATCTGGAGATGTGAGATGCTGAAGTCTCCTCCATCTCCTACAGCCTGCTGACAAGTATGATGTGTTTGCAGGAAATTCTTAACGTTTATGTAACTGATGCTATTGCCATTGAAGCTGACCTGTGTCTGGTCACCATGTTATGGCAGCTGTGTTGTACCTAGGAAGGTTTTAGGTGTGTTTTGCTCATTCAGAATGCTGGTGAGGCCGTGATGTTTGCAGTCTGACTGCTAGCTAAATACACAGTGGTTGTCCTCATCCATTTGATTCTCTGTATGCATACAATCAGGTATTATCATGTGTTTTCCCATTTTGCTTTTAAAGTTGTTTTTTTTCCTGTTTCTTGTGGTTTGCTATGATTCACACGTTGCATTTGTGTCACTGATTTGTCTCTTTAGAATGCTAGGGAGTCTTTTTCCTTTAAAGATTGATATTCCTTGCTAATGCATAAAGGACAAAAAAAAGTGGATGTTGAATGTATGAACATATGAAAGATTCCTCAAGTTTGTAATCCACTTAATTTTTAATAAATTGAATATATCATTATTAAAAACATGTATAGCTTTGATACAGATAGGTTTAGAATACATAAAGGATTATGATAGCGTAACATTAATCTCTGGCAATAAAAAGACTTCTGTTTCATGAGCATATTAATCCTTATGGATGGAAACAAACACGGTGTCCTCCTGTAACCCATTAAAAATGTTTCTTGAAAGTTACTGCTATGAGTTCTGTGCAACAGCAGGGATGGAGGGACAGCACAATGCCAGCTGAATTCATGGGGAAAAGAAGTGTTACTGAAACAGGCTGCTAGAGGGAAAGAGAACGGAATAAAGGAGGATTGAGGAGATGGCCTGGGTCACATTGGCACACAGATTCCTCGCAGTGAAAGCGGTTGTGCTCACTTACAGAGCGGTACTTCAGAGGCTTTTATTGTTACAGCAAAACGCTGTTGACATGGTGGAGTTTCTTTCAAATGGATTCTGTGAGAAAAGGCGCTTGGATTGTAGTGTTGTTACTGTTGTGTGGTGAAAAGTGGGGGGAAAAAGGGGATTGTTCAGAGAAATACAAGAAATAGGATCGTGTAAGGAAAGGAGCTTCTCTCCTTTCCTCTCTGAGGAAAGTACAGCTCACAGTGAAGGGTTCCCATGTGTGTTTCTTGTTGGTTGGTTCACATCAAAGTGTTGGCTCGTCCTTCAGCAGACACAGGCAGTTCTTATGGGTTTTTTCACCACAAAGCAGTGAATTATTAAAGTTGCCTCAGTCGCTTCCAAGTGCTTCAGGTTGTTCTGTCATTCTCCTGAGTTCCACTCATCACTCCTGAGCCCACAGATAACTTTCTGTGTACACCAGGACTTTCTCTCAATGTCCATTGTATCACTGCTGGAAAAAGCACTGAACCTTTGTAGATGTAGAGTAGGTTACATAGGAAGGGATTGTTAAAGCAAATAGATGAATAACGTTTGCCTTGATTTTTAATCTTGTTGAAGACAACAGATTTCCAGTGTTTCGCTCTCCTTTTCTGCTCAAGATGTCACCCAAAGCCTTCTAAACTACAAAGAAATATCATATGCAGCTTAGCATGGTTTTAATAGAATGGGAACTGAGGTCTGTGGCACTGGGCTGCTGGCTGCATTGCCAGCTCGCAATGTCCATCTGCAGACTTGACCATTCACCCTTTGGGAAACTGAAACTGCCAATGCCTCCTGCCCAGATATGTTGTCAGGCTTCATGATGCTTTAAAAGCAGTGATTGAAGAAGCCACACAGTGCTGTCAAAGTGAAATGGAAAAAAAAAAAAAAAAAACCAACACAGGAACAGATGTAAAATGAAGCTCCAAGTGGAAGCATCCACTCCTCTGCTGAAGAAATAGAATTCTTTACAATTTAGATAAGTGAGGTTTGTTTGCAGCTGAAAATTTTGAGCACGCTGCTTTTGCATGATAATATTTTAGATTTATTTCCACAACTTATTGCACATTCTTTTTTTTTTTTTTTTTTTTTTGAGTTTTCATTGCAGAAAATTGCCAGGAGGAATGGATTTTTGTCTTCCCTCAGCTGGCAGAACAATTTTCCACCTGTCGCCCAAATATTTGATGGGGAGGATTATGGTACAGCTGCTGGAAGTTTATACTTTATATCCATAGGAAGGCTCTGAGTCTCACACACTGCCACCAGAGGTTGGCACTCTGAGACATGCCCTGCATTTGTGACTTCCAATGGGAATTATATGGGAAACCCCACAGTGGCTGCTTGGCACATTTGCAAGCAATGCCTGACTTCCCACCTGCAATCCCCTTGAGACACATTCCTTCACTGGGGAGCAGTTGTAACTAAACTGGGGCTGTTAGTTGGAAAAGCAACTTCAATGCGATTTGCCTTCATTCTTTTAACCATCTGACCCTGCCACGTATGCAGAAATGTGGGTTGTTTTTTTTGACAGCCATGCAGACATTGATAGAAATATGAGATTTTGTTGCCTGTGTGAAATCCTTTAATGCCTTTGTTATTTCCTTTGCCACATGGATTTACTGAAGTCTATAGGGACGTGGTATTTAGCAAAGATTGACGATGCAGGAAACAGAAGAGTGGTCAGTAATCAAAGATGCATGCTGATGAATCTCACTGCATAATTTTTCTTGAAACTCTATACATTGAAAGTGAATCCAATTATTACTTATTCAGCACCGCTGGTAAATGATACAGAACTACTTAATTAGTATGAGTGCCACACAGGGATTGCATTTGGTAGTTCTGTCCTCTGTCATTCACTGTTGTGGTGGAACAACCGCCTTCCTGTGAGTACATATGGCTGAACCTTGAAGGCTGACAGCTGCAATAACTTGAAATCAAAACCCTTATAAAGTTCCAGCAGGCTTTAGATGGATGTTAAAACAAGTGAGGCACCATTGAAAGAAAACAGAAAAGAAAGATGTGTGAAATTAAAAAGCACAAGTAGTAAAAGAGTGATGTCTGTTGTTTGCAGGTGCTCGTCAGTAACCCAGTAACACCACGGCTGTGTGTTGCTGTTAAGTCCCAGCCCTTCATTTCAGCACTGTTTGGGTTTCATCCTTTGTAACTCACACTGAACAACAAATTGAAGGGCTCCCAGAATAATATTAAGTCCTCTGACTAAAAGTATCCCTGTAAAGTTGTCCACTGTTCTTCCCAAAGTCTTCCACTATTCCTGCTATCCCTGGAGGTGCCTGAGGCCACAGATGGAGCCCTTTGCAGCCCACTGGGGGATGGATGGGAGCAGTGGGCTTTGAGGTCCCTTCCCAACCCAGCCTTAACCCACACAAACTCATTGGTGCCTCGTGGAGCACTGAAAGAATTGATGGAGGAGTGGGATTCCTGTGCCTCTGAATTCACAGGAAATAGAAAAAGTGTCATTCTATAAAGCATAGATTTAATAAGGCCTGCAGGGACACAGTATTACTGAAGACTGACAAGATGAAAATTGGCATAACTGTTCTGTAGTAAAACGCTAAGAATTATGATAATATTTTATAAAGTACACTAAAAATGTAGTTTAAAACATTGTGAAAAATGGAAGTCTCTCAGTCTCACTCGGAAATATAATCATTTCCCATCACGTACAGGGTGTATAGTTTCAAATACAGATACAGAGTGTTAAGCAGGGTTACTTCTATTAAAAATAGATGTCATATGCTCATTATTGTTTGAGTGCTTTTGCGTTCACATCTAAGCAGAGAAATTGAGAAAATAGGACGTGTGCTGATTGGGTGCCTTTGGATCCTCCTGCCCACGGTGCAGACTTACCCCCACAGGCTGTAGCCCTACAGAAACAATTTTTTTCCAATTTTTCCAATTTTTTTCAACTTTTGCAGCACCTTAAGGGGCTGCAGGAAGGGGGATCAATGTAGGAGCACATTGAACAATTTCCTCTGTATGGGTTTGGAAACCACAGTTTGCTTATTTCACTGTTGAAGTGCTGCAGTAGTGCTGCTCACATCAGTACATTTCTCCATGTACTCTGAGCCTCTTTCAATGTGCAGCAACTGTTTGAAGGAAAGTCAGCATTGGAAAAAAGGGGTTCTTTGGTGGTTATAGCTCTGAATGCTGTTCAAGAGAATAAGGTTTACTTCGACTTCTCCCATGGGCATCTTGTATGATCTGTGATGACCCATTTAGTCTTTCTGTACCCATCTATAAAACTTGGCAGTACGGATGATGCCTTTTTCTGACGTTCTGATTTCCCTGGAAGTTCTTACATTATTGTTTTGTCTTGGTGTGCGCCAAAGCAGTCCTGATAACTATTGCATTCCTCAAGTTTTTCTTTAATAAAATTAGTTTTTAATAAAATATGGACGTTTAACTGGTTTACAGCCAGATAAATAATACAAAAATAAAGCAACATGAAAAATGTGTGTTTTCCTTTCTGCCCCTTTCAGGAAATGATAACAGCGAAGCCCTTCCAGAGTCCATCCCATCTGCTCCTGGAACGCTGCCTCACTTCATGGAGGAACCAGATGATGCCTACATTATCAAAAGCAACCCCATTGTCTTACGCTGCAAAGCCATGCCAGCCATGCAGATTTTCTTCAAGTGCAATGGTGAATGGGTCCACCAAAACGAGCACGTGTCGGAGGAAAGCATGGATGAGACCACAGGTAAGGGCAGTGTCCTTGGGGAAGTGTAAGCACAAACTGCACTGGGGTTGTGATACAGTTGAATGGCAAAGAGCTGTGGGGTGCACTGAGCTGAAGGAATGGTTATTTGCTAAGTAACCAAGTTCAGCAGGAGAAATCCATTGTGTAAAAGAGTCTCTCTCAAAGGAAGAGAAATAAGAAGGGAGAAAGTTGAAAGCGATCAACAGATTTTATCATGCTTCCAGCACACCCTTTATCTTTTCTCATTTAAAAGCATCTTGATAACTATTGCAAACCAATTTAACGCTGCGCTGTCTTGTAATTTCACAATTCGGTTTTGTTATTGCTTTCCTCCTCTTTTTAACTTCCACGATTGCTAGGCAACTCCATGGGTTGGAAATAGCAGCGTAGGCACAACATCCTCTCCATCAATACCAGAAATTCCTCTTTAGAGGGGGGAAAAACCACATTTAAAGAAGAAGATACATCTCCTGAAGTGACAGTGGTGTTTGGCATTCACTTTAAGTGACACATTCTGAAGAAATTTCATCCTAGCAGCTTTCTGTAAATGCTAATCTGAGTGAGCTCTAATTTCTACAGTTACCTTTTCAAAAAGAATTTAATAGGCGTAACCTTTACTTCTAAAGGCACTGCTGAATCAATACAGAAGAAATGTCGTTCCTAAATGTTTTTCTTCCATATGGTTAATGAAAAGCTGTCTTGTGAATACTGCAATTATGTTTTATAAGCCTTGGATTAATAATAGAATAAAAAAAAGATGAAGCAACATTAGGTGGTAGGTTTTCTGTTTTGCTTTTAAATAACACACGGTAACATTGAGTTTTGAGACATGGAGGCACAGACTTAGCGAATGGGATCTGGAATATAAATGATGCAGATTTGAATTTAGCCCAAGGGCAGAGCTAGCAGTAAAAGTATTGTTTGCTGTCTGCACATGGGCGTGATCCCAATAGTTAATGTGTTCTAAAAGCAGCCGTGATGATGCTCAGCATGCAGAAAGGCACAAGGAACGGCTACGTTGGGTGAGCTGTGAAGGACAGGCCTGGATGTTCTTCTCTCCTAGATGTATCCATACCCACAAACTACTTCAGAACCTTTCCCCAGCCTTGAGGAAGCATCAGACGTGAGGTTTTTTGAGGGGAGTAAATGAGTGCTCTGACAGTCCTCTCATCTCTGGAGCCAAATCCAGAGAATAAACATTTCTGCTACCAAACACTCCGTGTTCTGCACACTGTGTGGGCTCCATCTGTGAGAAACTGCACTCAAATTTATGGCACAAGTGGTGCCTCTGGTTAATGAGCGTCAATGCATTCACCAAAAGGAAGTCATGCTGCACGAAAATGAGGCTGCCTTGTTCCATCTTCCACTCTTTGGTATGTGGTGTAAATTTGGAGGAGAATAGTAAAATAGTGGTGAAGAATAGAAACAAATAAGTGAGCAAGACGCGCATCGTAGCGTCTCTGCAAATTCCTGCCTGTGTGTTCTTAGCCAGGCTGTGCAAGGAGTGCACATAACGAGAGCCAGTATGTGAACCTGAGAGGAAGGGCATCAATTCTGTAGCTCTGTGTGGTTTGTAGTTAAACACTGGGCTGACACAAGCTGGCTGCCTGAGGGTGTATCGAGGGTTCTGGGAGGCTGATTGTTTGCATTGCAGCTTGTGCTGTGGTGACTTTGCTGCTGCTGATGCATGAAGTCAGGGCAGGTAAGGCAGCACGTGTCGTGACTGATGGATGCACTGCTCAGTTACAAACCCAATTATTTCATCTTCTGCCTTAGTTCCTGAGCTACAAAAAAAGGGGAGAGCGATCCACAGTCTGCCTTTTTGTTGTTGGTTCCATAAGCACTGCAGCAAGGGAACTTTGCTCACTCTGTGTGCTCAGAAAATAAGAGCTTGAGCTAATAGATCCTACTGTGATAAGAATATAATATATAATATAATGTGATGTATATGATGTAATGTGATAATATATTAATATATAGTTATAGCTTGATGCATTTCTTTCTGCTTTCCTTCTCTTTTTTCCTGAATGTTGAGGACTGCACCTCCAAATTAGTTTACAAATATCTCAGCTTTTGGTTTTACTGCAGGATCAGACCACTAAAAGTAACTTGAGTTTCCACGTCTGATAAATAAAAGGATTACAGCAATAACTGCTGTCAGCGTTTTTCTCATTTAAACAAATAAAGCTGACAAATGCTGAAGTTCTGTGCAGCTCTGTTATGTTTAGTACATGGAGAGCAATTATTCATCTGCTGCCAACATTAGTCTATCTGCAGCTAAACCATCCAACGGTGCAGAAAGCTTATTAGCATCTCAGTACCACAGTCATAATTTTATATTCTGTAAGGCTGTGCTGTGTAACAAAAGATGATGGTTATAATTTGCACAATAATTTAAAAGGTTGACTTGCAGTGCTTATTAGAGTTACACAAGTTACAGGTAAAATGTTGTTCTTGTTTATGATGTGCCTGTTTGTATTTGCCTGGATATTTTTTTTTTGCTCTGTGTCATTTCCTATGAATGTTTTCTCTGGCATTTTTGAGACGCAGATGGTGAGTGAATATATCTGCTGGTGAAATACAGTGATGATAAATGAAGAATATATGCCTCTGCTCCCCGTGGGTTTGCTTTCTGTAGTTGGTTCTAAAATAAGTGAAAATAGGTGTACTTTTTCCATAGACAACACATAAACAACTTTCCCCAAAGAGTGGATGTTCTCTGGAGGTCCCCTCCAACCTGGATTCTGTCCTTTTGGATGCATCTGTTTTGTGGATTGACAAAGCAATGGAGTCCAAGGGACAGAATTCCTGTCCTTCTCCCCTTCTCAGTGCATCTCTCAAAATCATGCACTGTTTGGCTGCCTGATTCAAAGCTCATTAAGTGTTGCTTCAGGCTGATGTATATCAATTAATATTAATAAGCATGTTGGTGAAAGGAAGAGCTGAGGTGGAGAGCATTCTACTTTAACAAACCCAAATTTGTAGATACCTTTATTCAGTGGTGACTGCTCAGTGTTGTACAGCATCAATGAGCCTAGAAATGGCTTCTGCTCTTCCACATGTGATGATTTTTTCAGGTTGGTATCAGTAAAGGCTCTGTTGCTTGTACCAGCAGCTGTATAATGTGCAGTTCTCAACTCCTCATTTCTATTCGCTGCTTCCAAAAATTCCTTGAGTAGCTTGGAAATGTGGGAGATTTCAGGACAGATGGACTGTATTGTAACCAGGTGGGGAATGGTCAGCGAGGTAGGAGCTGATGGCTGGTGAGGGGATGAGTGGGTTTTCCCCAGGAAGATGCTAGTTGAGGTCATGCTGGGAATAAGCTGACTGTGGGAGGCCAGCTATAGGTACTTAGGTATAGCAGGATGCCATGTGAACTTCTCACTTTGGTAGCAGTTCAGGCAGTGCACAGATCAGCATTGCACTGCCTACAAACACAGACTCGCAGGCTGATAGGACATGGCTGCACAGCAGTGTGCATCAGCTAATTGAGTGCTGGGTGAGTGATCCCTGACCAGAGACAGCCATCTCAGAAAGGTCACTGTTTGTCAAGGACTGATTGTTTTTCATCCTTGTCAAAGTAGTCTTTAAGTAGATGGGTTGCAACCTCGTTGGACATGGCTGCAAATTAGCTTGGATTTGGAGGCTTGCGCTTTTGAGGCTCTGGAGCTTTGAAATCATCCAGGGATTGCACAGAGCTTGATTTGTCATGTACACAGTAACAGTAAAATATGCATTTGTCAGTGTTATCCAGCATGACAGAATGAGAAATGTTCAACCACTGGGACCTGCTGTGTCAGGTTGCCAGGACTCCAGGGGTCTCTAATGGAACTTACTGTGGCTGCTCTTATCACTTGCCTGTAAACATCACTCTATAGGAAGGTAGTATGGCTGAGAACTTGCGAATTCGTTGCTCTCAGAGCAGCCTGGGTGTTTACTTTGAGATGGTGCAGTTTCATTGTACGTCTTATAGCCCGTGTCAGCAAGGAGGAGGATTTCCAACAGAACTACTGGCTTCTGCCAGTGATGTTTTCATCATTACAGGAAACAAAGGGAAGCTTCTGTAAACAATTTTGTTGACAAATGCATCAACATAGTAAAAACAAAGCACAAATAGAAACAACCAGTTTGTTTATTACAGCATGGATAAATATTTGAGCTGCTAAAATGATTTTCGAGACAACCGAGGAAACTCTTGTAGGTTTGGCCATATCTTAAGATGTCTTTGGGAAATACGACAAGCCAAACAGGAGAAATGAAAAGAAATAATTTGCCTGCTGCTGGAAACATAACAAAAATGTTGTGTTGCTTTATAGCTCCTCTGCCCTCCCCCACTGCTCTCCAGTGAGCATCCCCAGTGGCCTCAGCTCTTGTTTGTCAGAGGACCAGGCTGACTTCCTGGTGCCTTCCAGAAGTGAAGTACCCAGCCATTTGTTAATGATGCCTGAGATTAAGTGGAAGCCAATTTTTATGGAGTTCAGGTTTAGAAATTTCGTGGTGCTTTATAAATTCACAGGCATGAAATATTTTAAGATTGAGTTTTCATTCATTTCCAGTGAAGGGGAAATAAGTACCTTGGGACTGCATCAGAGGAGAGGAGGAAGAAAGTAGAAGGCATGATCTTTTTTTTTTTTTCCCAATTTTCAAATTAACGTTTTTCTGACTAGCTCTCCTAAGTGATTCTTAGTGCCACTTAACAGTGATTTGGATTATATTTTCTCTCCCCAACGTTGTCATACAAAGGTAGTTATGGATTTAGCATATAGATATAGAAAACATTGCGAGTGTATAAAATAAGGTGTCAGGTTTAGAAGGCCTCCACTTGTTATCTTGTCTGAAACAAAAGCTTCTGCTCTGAAGGGCAGTGATGCTGAATGTTGGCTGTGTATGGGGAGTTGTGGAAATGGCAGCAGGAGGAAAAAAAAAGCATGAGACTCTTCCCATCATTACTCCTGGTTTGCCTCCGTTATTCCATGAGATTCTTTTCTGAGTTATTTAGATGAACCTGTTTAATTCCTGTCACTTATGCATAGTTCTGGTTGTTTGACTTGACTTGGGGGTAATGGATGTGGGTCCACCAGGGTGCTTCAGAAAGAGCTTCAAGTGCACTGAGAGTGGTAAATGGGAATACAATTTCATCTTCTGTTATACAATGCCAAATAATCCCTCCAAGTGACAAAAGGCACGTGAGAAAAGGCTTCTGAAGCATTACACTCTTGCAAAGGCCAATGTGGCTGGGTAATTTGTTTCATTTGATGCATTATGACCTAGTCAGCTTTTAGCATTGAATTAATGGTAATATATTATTGTCAAAGTAATTAAAGCTTTGCCTTGATTAAGAAAATGGAATTGTTTAATTAAAAGAAAAGCATCTGCTAACCTTTGCTTTATGCCTGAGGAAGGAAGCTCATATCACTTAATTTTCTGTATCTTTCCCCTTCAGGCCTGAAAGTTCGAGAGGTGTTCATCAATGTGACGAGGCAGCAGGTGGAAGACTTTCATGGGCCAGAAGATTACTGGTGTCAGTGCGTGGCATGGAGCCATCTGGGGACCTCAAAGAGCAGGAAGGCGTCCGTCCGCATCGCTTGTGAGTAGAATAAACCTTCTGATGTTCTTTGGATGTATTGGAGTTATAATGAGTTTGGTTTTTTCCTGTATTGAACTCTGCAGATTTAAGGAAAAACTTTGAGCAAGACCCCCAGGGGAAGGAGGTTCCTATTGAAGGGATGATCGTTCTGCACTGCCGGCCCCCCGAGGGCGTCCCTGCAGCTGAGGTGAGCTTTTTCTGCATGACACACAAGAAAGGCTCAGCACTGCTGGTTTCCAGGCTCAGTGTTGGTGGCAGTTCTCCCTGTTGCAAAAAGCTGGGCTCTCCACGCGGGATCAACGTGTGTTGATCTACGTTGGCAATTTTGGGGATTTGAGTTGCTTTGCTTTTGTTGCTACTTCTAAAAATACGATCTTTAGAGGTGAGCAGGAAGTTTTCAGGTGATGATTTGTGTAAATCCCATGTGTACTCCTCGAGATCCAAAGAAACAAACAATGAGTAAACGGGTACCTGATACCTATTGAGTAAATAGGTGAACTTCTACCTAACAAGCCTGGTTTGCTGAGCTGATTACCTGCATTTGTCTGGTTTTCAATTTATGCATGGTTAAATGTCCACAGAATGCTGTCTTTGTTGGAATTGGACCATTTGAGGAAAAAATGGTGAATGCTGTTTAAATTTTACTGAGGATTTTAGAATTATCTGCTTTACGGTCTACAATCGAGCAGAATATCTGTCCTTTTGGAAAGTTAGGAATGATACTGAATGGAAAAACTGGCATTTCTGTTGTTTTCTACAGATAAAATTGCAGAGTTCTCAGAAAGCCCTGATTTACTGATGCTGATGGTAAGATTGTTATTGCTGCTAATAAAGCCTGTATATCGTAACAGGTCATGTTTGCTCTGGACAGTAAAATCTCACATAAAGGCTTCACGTAAAGGATTCAAGGCTAATTCTATGCTCATCAAGGTAAACTGTCTTCTGAAAATAATTAAGTGTTCAAATGAGTAATGGCTCTGGTCTGTGGCAGTAAGCTCCATGTTGTAAACTCATTTGGTATTTTTGAGTTATGGGAGACCTACCCTGGATAAGAAGTAACAGAGAGCCCATAAGTTTTGCTCAATAATTGTTGGGTGTGTACAGTACCAAGAAACATAGAATGCTATAAAACCTGAGGCTGAATGGTTTGGGAACAAGAATTGCTCTCTTTAGAGTTTGGATGAAGTCCTAGATGATAAGACTTGAAGTAAGTATGGATGAAGCTCACGTTGGTTTCAGTTGATGCAAAATAGATGCTAATAGTGGTATGGAGGAAATGGACAGGAGACTCTCACCCCATTTGTGTTACTGTGCCAATGTCTGCCTGAGCCCCTTGGAGAAGATTCTGATTATTCTGTCCATCAAGTGCAGAAATGCAGCACCATTATTTTCCCAAAGAGCACACAGTTCTGTGCCTGCCATAGGAACAGATTAATCGAGTGGTTTATTTCTGACCGTGGTGATGAAGGACTGGTGCAGCCAAACCTCACACTGGAATGAAATTTAAGTTCAACTCCATTATTTCAGTGAGCCTGCCCCATTATCAACAATATAAATCTTCACTTCTGGAATTATTTTCCTGCAGCTTAAAGGTGCTGAGGAATTGTTAAACCTAAGGATAAAAGTGTCCTACTCTGTGGCTTAATCTCTGCTCCCAAATCATAGAATCACCAAGGTTGGAAAAGACTTAAAAGATCATCCAGTCCAACCGTTAACCTATTCCCAATAGCTCCCACTAAACCATGTCCCTCAACACAACATCCAGCCTTTCCTTGAACACTCCCAGAGTCGGTGACTCCACCACCTCCCTTGGCAGTCCATTCCAGAATGGAATGAAATCCTCACTCATTAGCTCTGTGAGACTGCTGGGATGTCCTCACAGTCAGCATCTCTGCCAATGGTGCTTCAGTATTAGATCTTTTTCTTTATTTTGGGGGTGATATAACTGTGGTGAAGACCAAACCTCATGGAGATATTCTCCAGAGAGAATTCCTCTAGATCATTTTTGGTTTTATTGAGAGAAATTTCTACTTTTATACTGTTCTAAAATTAATATGTCTTCGATATCTCATCATTGGCAGCAATGAAGGCATCTGGATTAAGGTTTCTTATTAGTATTACTTTCTGCATGCAATATATAAAAGAGGAGGAAGTAAAGTATGGATTAAAGATTTTGATCCATAGTTGTAACGTATCCAGACTATATATGACATAAGACCTTCCTTGTACGAATTAATTTACAAATAATGGGAGCCAGTGTAACATTGTCAGTGCTTTGTGTGCTCACACAGTTCACTTGTAGTAAATGGTCTTCAAGATGGATAACGCATTAGTGAAAACAAACAACCAAGGAGGATTACAAATAAGGAATTTGCCGTATTCTAATTCAGCTTTAATGTCACACAGGCACGAATCAAGAGCTCCAAATCCTGCTGAGGCAAGCTCTGGATTTAATGCTGCTTTGAAATGCACTGTGCTGTCTTGACTCATTTAGCAGCAAATTGCAGTTGCTTGTGTCAGCTGGGTCTGAAGAAGTAAAAGACATATAGAAAAGGATCTCTCTAAATCTGCATTCTCTTTCCGAGAATGTGATGACTGTCTTCATCTCTGAGCTGAAGTTTATCTCTCATGCATGAAATGCTACTGAAAGTGCCCAACTATGACCAGTAATGAACGTCCTGTGTCCTTTGGAGCATCCTGATCAATGCGCCTTGCTCCTAGGATGCTCAGCCTTTCTGTTTGTTTGCAGGCCCGGGAATTAGCTGCTGTCAGCCCCATAGACCAGCCTGTATTTCTGCCTCTGTTGCCTTTACTATGTTGCCCACCTCTAGAGTTTGCTCCTGTATGTAGAGGAATGTAAGGAAGTTCTGCTTTGGGAGGTTGCTGAGTGCATGCAGCGTTCTATGCACATTGCACAGCGGTATGAGTAAGAAAACCCAAATCCTGACACTGAGCATAATGCAGAAAGGTTTAAAATCATCTCCTCGCATGCATTGCATGGTAAGCAAAACAGAGCTGGTGAGCAGCTGTGACTGCAGGCATCAGCACCCAACCCAAATAAATTCTTTTTTTTTTTTTTTAATGAGTTAAACAACAGAACAAAAAAGAAAATCCAGCCTTTCAAGTAAAGCATCTGATAGTCCCCTGCTGTGGCAAAATGTTGGTTTGAATGTAACAATCTCTGCTGGCTCAGATTGGATGAGACCAGAGCCATTTCTATCACAATTGATGCAGTGTTGGCACAGGGAAGAGACGGTTCTGGCTCACAATCCCCACAAGAGATTCTCCCCATAGATAGGTTTATTAATTGTGTGCAGTAGAGGCTTCATTTAGCTCAGGGTGTGTGCAGTGCTGCAGTTGTGCTGTAGCACAGGAGTTGGATAGGATGATAAATGCATGTCTGCTGGTGGTTTCTGGGAGCTGCCAGGTGGGTGCTCAGCCTCAGGTCTCTGCTGCCATATTTGGTGAGAAAGAACCCATAACCCTTTGTGTTTATTAGGATGTAAAGGAGTTAAACCCAGTTGGGTCCTTAAGCCCCATTACTCTCTTTACAAATCTTGGCTTTAGATCAGCGCAAAGCGAAGGAGGGGTAAATTTCTGCAATGGATGCTAAGCCCTCATCCTCAAGAAGTATGTGTTTACTGCTCCTTTCTATGTATTACAGTCTACTATTAACATGATCTGTTCATACCTACTGTCACTGACTGTATAAAGCAACTTGGGTAAGATTTCATATCCATAATGTTGGCAGGCCGGTAACCATAATTGTGATGCCTGAATGTTTTCCTCTTCTCTTGCCAAAGGATATTCTATTAATTTTAAGAACATACTTGAGCACTGGACTCGGTGCCTCTCAGTGGCACATTTGTTTACTTCAGAAGTGAAATAATGAAGAATTGAAGAACTTGATTCTGTCCTTTTGTGCAAGTCTGTAGTTGGGCTGCATCTGGAATCAATAATATTAATAGATCCTGGTGCTTTCCACAGGATCCTGGAGTCAGCAAACAGAATAAATTACAGCATCCTCTCTGGTTCATTGATGGCATTTCTTTCCTGTCTGCTTCTTGATGGTTGTGACATTGCACTCTCATTGTGATGGTTGTTGAACTGGAGCCTGGAAGAGACTTGGTCAATATGCATTAAGTGAAGTTTAGGATAATCTTTATTCTGTGCAGTACATTATCAGTGCATAAGAGTGAGATTTGGGGCATGGGAACAAATTAAAACATAATTTTGTAGCTGATTTTTGCTAGTAATCTTTTTAGGCATCTGGTTTTAAGTTCTCTTCACTGTTCTGGTTAGGGGCTGTGATGTTGGTTGTGGGCACATTAGTAATGAGTAATTCCAACTCACTGATTCTAGAGATCAGCATTTCTAAACAGCAGGCTTTCACATAAGGAAAATCAAACAAACCCTTTTGTTTTCTGGACTCGGGTCACCTTTGTCAGAGCAGTGCTGCAGTGCTTGTGCTGCTAAATGGGAGAGCTGCAGTTCTGTGTTGCATATGGTGTTTGCTTGAGGAGCCAAGTCCCAACTGGAAGTGCTGGAGCGCTGATAAAAATCAATTGGAGCAGAAGTTGGCCTGGAGATTTATTCCAAATCTCTTTTACTATAAGTAAATACCTTCTGAGATTAAATCTCTGAATAGTTCGTATTTGGGTATCAATGACTTGCAGACCCTTCTGCATCTGCTGTTGCGCTGAACTGTTGTTGATGAGTGTGAACTCGAGAGCCCTGCAGAGGTCTGCAGAATACTCTAACATATCTTTATCATTTATATCCAAATATATATTTAAGGTTTAAATGGAGCTGTATCCAGATACTTTTTCAAATTTTTAACACAGATTTTGACACTTTAATGGACTGCTGTAGAAGTTCCAGTGAATATCTGCATGAGTTCTGATGGCTTATTTACTGCTGTAGCTTTTAATGGAAATATAAAATAATTTCTCTTCTGGGCAGTATACATCCTGCTTCAAACACATCAACAAAATGCAAAACCCACATAAAATTCACAAGCTGCGGAGTTCAGAAAGCAGTGAGAGTCATTGCTGCCTGTTTTACATAGGCTCATGTATTTATGGGACTTGCACACATACTGTAATATGGCAGGATAATGGGATTGTAGTAAAACACTATGGCAAAAAAGGCTGCTGAGTTATTGTCTTCAATGAATCTTGTTTCTAG